AACGAAAACAGTGAAATGTCTCGCGAGGCATTGAAATTATGAAAAATATGTTCTTACAAAAGTTGTTCGTTTTGAAAGAGCAGATTACGTGGTTTCAATAGTTTCTACGCGGATGTGGTGGTAGCCGAGATTTCCAGGTCAAAAGTTAATGTTTTCAGATGGAACAGTATGGCTTTTTATTTATAATCGTTTAGCGTTTATAATTTTTAGCGTTTTCCGAGACAAATTCGATAACACGCGGCCCAAGGACGACAGCTTATCTATTAAAGGTGCGCGATTCACGGAGCCAAAGGTTTCGCGAAAATCGGTAAATATTGCGTCTACTTGCAAAATCGTTCCGAAACTGGAGATGTGTAGCTAAGGTATTAGGTTCGAACCTTAGGTTCCTGGCAAACGGATCACCCTTTCACGAAACCATGCTGCTCTTCGCGTACAAAAAGATCGAGCGAACGATATACAATTTCTGGGCGACGAGTCCCTCGAAAATCGTCGGCATTAAATTAATGGTGTATATAATTATAATCGTAATTTTCGACGATTGATTTATCATCGTCGTTTTAAGATTAACCATACAACGGACGGGATACGACGAAGCCGCTAATATTTATCGACGCCTCGCGGAAAGACGAGGGAAACAAATGTCCGGGTGTTTCGCGCGTGTGCGAGCGTGTTCTCGAGGCCTTCGTTCCCCGGCGTTTACCGGTTAAAGAGTTTGTACAAATGATTCGAAAGGATCGTGGTCGCGGAATGATTTGAAGCCTGCCAGACGTCGCGAGCAATTGTGCTTTATTGATCCTGCAAGCAAGTCGATTATTACTTGCAAATATTTGTCTATTTGCCCCGCCGACAAACAAACGGTGCAAGCCGAGCCGCAGCGGTGCCTGATCGACGAGCTTTACTTACGCCTTCAGCTGTTTGTTTCGGAAGCTGTTTATTTCATCGCCTCCTTCCGCTTTATTCGACACTCGCAATCTGCTTTCGGACGGAAACGTGAAAAACGGAGGTAAACGTGGTTCATCCGCACACGAAATGCTCGGCAAAACCATAGCGAAAGAAGAAATACGAATATGACAGAGTTTTACCGTTTATGATCTCGTTGTCCTTCGTCTTTCGTAATTGAACAGAAATCTCGTATAAGGGTCTATGACATATAGGGTGGGTCGCCACACATTGTCAACCAGATTTATGTTATTATTATTTTTCCGGATAGCGAAAATTGTTCTTGGTGGATTCTGATGATACTATTGGGTTGGCAACTAAGTAATCGCCGATATGTTCAATGAAATAAAAAATTTTGTTTTACTTGGAACGAAGTTTAATCTGTAATGTATTTTCCATTTTGTTCGATGACCTTTTGCCATCTCTCTGACAACTTGAAAATTCCACGCTCGTAGAAAGTCTGATCCTTTTCGGCCAAAAACTGAGTTCAGTGAGATTTTACAGCGTCACCATCATTAAAAGTTTTACCACGAAGGGAGTTGTCCAGGGATCGAAATAAGTGGTAATCCGATGGCGCGAGATCGGGGCTATACGGTGGGTGTAACATCAATTCCCAACCAATATCCATCAATTTTTGCCAAGTGGACAAATACGTATGTGGCCTAGCATTGTCCTGGTGGAAAATCACACCTTTACGATCGACCAATTCTGGTCGCTTTTCCTTNTGGGTGTAACATCAATTCCCAACCAATATCCATCAATTTTTGCCAAGTGGACAAATACGTATGTGGCCTAGCATTGTCCTGGTGGAAAATCACACCTTTACGATCGACCAATTCTGGTCGCTTTTCCTTGACCGCTGCATTCAATTTGTCCAGTTGCTAACATTCACGGATAATAAAAAATAAAACAATAATAATAATAATAATAATTTTATAATATAACATTTACGGATATCATAAAAATGGGAGTGAGAGACATCTATAACTGAAATCGGCAATTACTTAGTTGCCAACCGAATAGTATACTAAATCACTATAGTTTAAATGCATCGTTTGCTCGAGTTGAAATTAAAGATAATCCGGAGTGGCAATAATTATCCTAATCAAAATATTAATCGTATATGTAGTATGCCCAATATCTTGTTTTTCGATCCACGGGGGCCAGTAGTTCTCCTCTTTTATCGCTAGAACTACGGAGAAAATGTCTCTAAAGTTCATTCACCGAGTCGAGCCACCCGACATAAACAAATTCACGTGGCACTGTTCGGATAAAACAGGGCCGTATTTCTCAGTTATTGTGCCGAACATATTTTTGAGCGAGATTTTCGGATTGGTAATAATTAGACTGCGGATCTTCATGCATTTACGGCTCTTCGCAGATTCTGTGGATCTTTATGCAAATTTTTAACCCTTCGCGCTCGAGTGGTGACTCTGAGGCATCACTAAAATTTGTTATATCACGTTTTAAGATAATTTTTACATTAACAAAATTTTGATTTAAAAGATTGCTAAGAGTGCAATTATTGCGCGAGTC